TTTGAATTATGTTTGCACACACACACAGACAAACTCACACACAGACACACTCACACACACAGAGACACACTCATACAGACACACTCACACAGACACGCACACACAGACACACACACAGACACGCTCATACACACACAGACACACTATAATAATAATAATAATCCTTGCACTTGATATAGCGCTTTTCACGTCGGGAGGACGTCCCAAAGCGCTTCACAGAACACACTGTAAAGTGAATTGACTGTATATTTGTGGGCGAACGCGGCAGCCAATTGCGCACAGCAATGTCCCACAAACAGTTGTAGATTGAAAATGACCAATTTATTATTGTTTTTGGTTTTGGAGAGATTATTATTAGGCTCTGTGTGGAGTAAGGAAACTTGCCCAAGGTTTCGCCCTCTGCCTGGAATTGAACTCAGGTCTCTCACTTGCAAAGCGAGTGCTCTAACCACTGAGCTACAGGACTCCACACTCACACTCACACATACTCACACACACACTCACTCACACACACACTCACACACACACACAGGCACACTCATGCACCTACAGACACACTCACGCACACACACAGATACACACACACAGACACACTCACACACACACTCACTCACACACACACAGACACACTCACGCACACACACAAACAGACATACGCATGCGTACACAGTCACACATACAGACAGACACAAACACACAGACACATACAAACAAACCTGTAAAGCTCTTTGCTGCCTTCCTCGTGTTGCTGGCTCGCTTATGTTTCTATTAGAAGCAGAGACATCTACAGCAGAGAAGGAGGCCATTCGTGCCATTGAGTCTGCACTGGCTTATAGAGCAAGGAGATCAATCGCACTGTCTCTCCTTATCCCCACACCTTAAGTTCTCCTTTTGCTATTCTTGTGGCTATCTGTTGTGCAGTCCTGTAGCTCAGTGGTTAGAGCACTCGCCTCGCAGGTGAGAGGACCTGCGTTCGATTCCCGGGCAGGGTGAAACCTTAGGTAAGTTTCCTTGCTCCACAGCATTAAGTAGGAACTTGATTGTTAGCCAATTGGTGGATCACTTTCCAGGGGTAATAATCCCTCCAAAGGAAAAAATTTGGTCACTCAATCCACGACTGTTGGTAGGACAGTGGCGGGATCAGAATCCACCACTGTCAAGTACTCCAGAACCCTACCCCACATCAAGGGCACTATATAAATGCAAGTTGTTGTTGTTGACTGCTGTACACAATTATCTCCTGCGTTTCGCCCACAAAATACACAGTCACTACACTTTACAGTATATTCTGTGAAGTGCTTTGTCGCCTCTCAAGGACGTGATAAGGCGCTATATCAAAGCAGATATTATTACTATCTTCTAACTGTGCCCTCTGATCTTTGACTACCCTAGGAATGGAATATTAACGCCCATTCATTCTCCTGTCAATACAGGGAAAAGCACCAAGCCCCCAGTGTGCAGTTCGAGTGTTGGTTGTGCTGAGGCCGGGCTGACATCACTGGTCTCTGCTGGCCACCAGCATAAGCCGATCACCACACAGACGCCTGTCGTAATGAAGCCAGTTCCTTCATCCTCTGCCGTCGCAGTCGCTCATATTCTGCAGCAGGTAATCACTGGAGAAAGAACAACAACAACAACTTTCATGTCCACAGCGCCCCTCACGCAGGGCAGTGTCCCAGAGCACTTCACAGCGGTGGAGCACGACACCGAGCCGGGGGGAGGGGAGGTGACCATAAGCACGATCGAAGAGGCAGAATCTGATGATGAGGAAGGAGGGGGCCGGCGGAAGGATCAGGGAGAGAGTGACAGAATCAGGTTGTAGTGGCTGAAAGCGTGAAAGAAAATGCATACATGTCAGCTTGGCTGTGGTGGTGTGACTGGCCTCTGGGGCAGAGGGTTGTGGGTTCGAGCCCCACATCAAGAAACTGAGGCGCTGTCCAGATTGACAGTCCACGGTGGATGTTGCACTAAGGGAGGTGCCATCATCACACCTGACCAGCAATTACCTGTGAAGCACTTGGGGACGTTTGACATTTCTCAGACATATCCAATGCAAAAACAAGTGCTATGTCCCATTTGGCTATAAACTGCAGTGTCCCGTCTGGTACAACAATAAGCCATCAATTAGACAACTTGTACTGCGTCTACACAGAGTACGTATTATTATTGCAGTACTATTCCAGAGTAATGGGAGTATTAATCCTACTGTGTTGTAAGGAGTCCTGTAGCTCAGTGGTTAGAGCACTCGCTTTGCAAGTGAGAGACCTGAGTTCAATTCCAGGCAGAGGGCGAAACCTTGGGCAAGTTTCCTTACTCCACACAGAGCCTAATAATAATCCTCCAAAACCAAAAACAATAATAAATTGGTCATTTTCAATCTACGACTGTTTGTGGGACATTGCTGTGCGCAATTGGCTGCCGCGTTCGCCCACAAATATACAGTCAATTCGCTTTGCAGTGTGTTCTGTGAAGCGCTTTGGGACGTCCTCCCGACGTGAAAAGCGCTATATCAAATGCAAGGATTATTATTATTATTATATTGCTGCAATGGGAGATCTGAATGATGTCATCCAGATTGCTAACAGTTAGTATCGAATGCAAGGAGTCTTGTACCGTATGTGGAATCCTCTAGTGTAGTGGGTAGAGCACTCGCTTCACAAAGAAGAGGACCCAGGTTCGATTCCCGGGCAGGGCAAAACCTTAGGCGAGTTTCCTTCCTTCACACGCCTCTGTTTACTAGCAGTAAATAGGAACCCGGTTGTTACCCGGTTGTTAGTCGATTGGTGGATCACTTTTCTGGGGATAATAATCTCTTCAAAAAAAAATTAATAGTGATAATAATTTGGTCACTCAATCCATGTTTGTGGGACACTGCTGTGTGCAATTGGCTGCAGCTTTTCGCCCACAAAATATTCAGTCACTACACTTTACAGTATATTCTGTGAAGTGCTTTGAGATTTCTTGAAGATGTGATAAGGCACTATATCAAATGCCAGGATTATTAATATTACTGTATTGTAAGGAGTGAGGTGTCATGGTTTGGGATGACCGTGATATGAAAGGAACCCTATAAATGTCAGTGTGTGTATTACTGTTCGATAATTACTACAATGGAGCACTGAATGACCTCATCCAGATTACTAACAAACAGTGTCAAATGCAAGGTGTGTGTGATGACTTGTGTCTCTGCCCTGTGAACCCAGATCCCTATAAAGCTACAGGGAGCTGCTCGGGGCAGCACAGCGAAGCCGGGTGAGGACTCCGAGGCTGAAGACAGTGAGGTGGAGGATGGCGACACGCTGGACCCTCAGACAGGCCTGTTCTACAGGTCGCACACAGCCGCTCAGCTCCCACACACAGCATTGCTGCAGCTTCGAGAGGCGGTACAGGGCAAACCCACAGCCCTGCAGGCAGTGAGTGGGGCAGTGCCCCAGGGCATCACAGTGAAACCTCAACAACAGCTTCCCAAGGTCCTGCTCCCCCCACAGCCCACACCCACACAGCCCCCACCCACACAGGCCCCACCCACAAAGCCCCTACCCCCACAGCCGCCGCCCGAGAGAGCCGTCAAACACCAGCCCACATCGTCTGAGCAGCAGCCACCCACGCAGGTAACATTATCAACAACAACAACGTGCATTTACACAGCGCCCTCAGCGCTTAACAATGCCGGAGCCTGACGCCAAACTAGGGGGAGGGGGGAAGTGACCGTAAGCACGGTCGAATAGGAAGGTCTTCAGTCGCGATATGAAAGGGGAGCGGGGGGCAAGGTGGAATGACTGGGGGAAGAGAGCCCAAAGCTTTGGAGCGTAGTGGCTGAAAGCGCAGACTCTGATGGTGGAGCGGAGGCAGTGGGTGGTGGGTTGAAGAGTCAGCAGGTCAGAGGTGGGGAGGTGCCGGGGCATCAAGGGATTTGATGACAAGTGAGAAGATCTTGAAATTGATCCGTATTAAATATAAGATAATCATTTTCTCTTTTTTTTCAAACAATGGATGTCCTTCATTCCCTTTCTATACCTATTGCTGATGTGATAGCAATAGAATTCTGATCCCATTTATTTATTTATTTTGACTTCTTATGAGTTTTACTGGGATCAGACCTGAGGTCATATGGTGTCTTCTGGTGTCCTGTAGCTCAGTGGTTAGAGCACTCGCCTCACAAGTGAGAGGACCCGGGCGGGGGGAAACCTTAGGCAAGTTTCCTTACTCCACACGCCTCTGTTTACAGCAGTGAGCAGGAACCCGGTTGTTAGTCAAATTGGAGGATCACTTTCCGGGGCTAATAATCTCTTCAAAAAATAACAACAATTTAGTCACTCAATCCACGACCGTTTGTGGGACGTCGCTGTGGGCAATTGGCCGCTGCGTTTCGCCCACAAAATACAGTTACTGCACTTTAAAGTATGTTCTGTGAAGCGCTTTGACACGTGTCAATGACGTGATAAGGAGCTGTATCAAATGCCAGGATTATTATTATTAGATTGAGCCCCCGGTGGCACAGACTTGATCAGGGCTGCTTTGCTGGAGTTTATTTGCCAATCCATGTTTTATGGTTATTTCAGCGCCTGTGTTGGCATTTTCAGGCACAGCCGCCCATCATAACACAGGGAGCGACAGTCACCAAGATCACGTTTGGCAATTGTCAGGCCACCACCATCACCAAGGCCACGGGAGGCAACTCAGAGGCCAAAGCCGCAGCCACCTCAACCAGTTACTACACCGTGCAGTCTTCCAAAAAGCTGCTGGAGACGGACATCCTCAAGATCTCCATGATGGAGGCCAAGATCGGGGTGAACGACGAAACCTCTGGGGGGGACCCCAACAAAGACAAGAGGCCGGCCAGCACCACGCGGACCACCTCTCCCAGCCCCTCCCAAAAACTCACACCAATCCTGGGGCTAAAGGAGCAGCCAAACAAGCCTCCCCCTCCCCGTATCCCCCCAGCCCCCTCCCCACCTCCCCCTCCACCTCCCACAACTCAAGAGAAGAGCCTCCCAAGTGGGGAGAGTGAAGAACCTGGGAAACCTGGCCCAAGCCACTTCCTCCAGATGCCGAGTGTAACACAGGACAAGTCGGAGCTCTCTGCAGATATTCTCATTCAGGTCAGCAACGCTCCCTTGGTCACTGCTCTCCAGCGCTGTTCTGCGATGTAGAGGTTAGAGCTCTCACCTCACAAGCGAGAGGACCTGGGTTCAATTCCTGGGCAGGGGAAACCTTAGGCAAGTTTCCTTACTCCACACACCTCTGTTTACAGCAGTGAGTAGCAACCCGGTTGTTAGTCGATTGGCGGATCACTTCTCAGGAGTAATAATCCCTCAAAAATAATATTGGTCACTCAATCCACGACTGTTTGTGGGACGCTGCTGTGCGTAATTGTCCCACGAACAGTCTGATCTGAGGGGAGAAGGGAAGCCGAGGGGGTGGAGGAGTTGAGACGGTGGGGGGGGTGGGGGAAGCTGAGGTGGGTGGGAGGTTACTAAAAGTTTGGTCAAAAAGCAATGTCTTAAGGTGGGCTTTAAAGGTGGGGAGAAACAGCAAAGCTTAGGATGGAGTTCCAGAGACACACCTTGAGACTGTAAACTGAACCGTTTAAGCTGTGTCTAAGCTGTTGGCACTGAGACCACCTGTAAATGACTCTCAGTTCATCCTCATTGTTTGGAGCTGAGGTGAACGCCTGGTTCAAGTTCCACGACTGCAGTTATTTCCAGAGTTTTTCTTTGTGAATGTTTTATAGAAAACTTCCATTCACTAAATGATTCTCCTTCTTCATCCTGAGCACTGTTACCATCGCTGAAGAGCCGAGGGTCACACGGTCTCTTATTGACCGTCACAGGAGAAAGAGACTCACAAACAGACACTTCGGCTTTCACAAAAAGCGGTTTGTTTGGTGTCATCGAACCTCACAGCACAGAAGGAGGCCATTCGGCCCACGGCTCTTTGAAAGAGCTACAACTACTCCCACTCCCTCCGCTCTTACCCCAACTAGTCCCACTCCCCCGCTCTTACCCCAACTAGTCCCACTCCCCTGTTTTTACCCCAACTAGTCCCACTCCCCCGCTCTTACCCCAACTAGTCCCACTCCCCTGTTTTTACCCCAACTATTCCCACTCCCCCGCTCTTACCCCAACTAGTCCCACTCCCCCCGCTCTTACCCCAACTATTCCCACTCCCCGCTCTTACCCCAACTAAACCCACTCCCCCACTCTTACCCAACTAGTCCCACTCCCCCCGCTCTTACCCCAACTATTCCCACTCCCCGCTCTTACCCCAACTAGTCCCACTCCCCCCGCTCTTACCCCAACTATTCCCACTCCCCGCTCTTACCCCAACTAAACCCACTCCCCCGCTCTTACCCCAACTAGTCCCACTCCCCTGCTTTTACCCCAACTAGTCCCACTCCCCCACTCTTACCCCAACTAGTCCCACTCCCCCCGCTCTTACCCCAACTAGTCCCACTCCCCCCGCTCTTACCCCAACTAGTCCCACTCCCCCACTCTTACCCAACTAGTCCCACTCCCCCGCTCTTACCCCAACTAGTCCCACTCCCCTGCTCTTACCCCAACTAGTCCCACTCCCCCACTCTTACCCCAACTAGTCCCACTCCCCCCGCTCTTACCCCGACTAGTCCCACTCCCCCCGCTCTTACCCCAACTAGTCCCACTCCTCCACTCTTACCCCAACTAGTCCCACTCCCCTGCTCTTACCCCAACTAGTCCCACTCCCCCGCTCTTACCCCATTGCTCTGCAACGTTTTCCTTTTCCGGTCCCTATCCCTATCCCTTTTGAAAGTTATTGTTGAATCTGTTTCCACCCTTTCAGGCTGTGCTCCAGACCGTAACAACTCTCTGTGTAAAAAAAATTCTCCTCATCTCCCCTGAGCAGGGCGGAATCCTCGGCACGTTTCCTTACTCCACCCACATGCATTTGTTTATCCAGCAGTGAATAGGAACCTGCTTGTCAGTCGATCGTGTATCACTTCCCGGTGGTAATAATTCCTCAATTTTTTTTAAACTTGGTCACTCAATCTACGGCTGTTTGTGGGATACTGCTGCATGCAATTGGCTGCCATGTTTCAACCCCAATACACAGTCACTAAACTTTACAGTATATTCTGCAAAGCACTTTGAGACATCTCATCGACATGACAAGGCTCTATATTAAATGCAAAGATAATTATTATTGCAGAACAGCAAAGGAATGATCGACTGGCATTGTTAACATGCACGTCAGCATATGAACCGAGATCATAGAATAATAGAATTATACAGCATAGAGGCCATTTGGCCCATGGTGTCTGCCGGCTGTTTGAAAAGATCTGTCCAATTCAACCCCACTCCCCCACTCTCTCCCCATAGCCCTGATCAACCCCACTCCCCCACTCTCTCCCCATAGCCCTGATCAGCCCCACTCCCCCGCTCTCTCCCCATAGCCCTGATCAACCCCACTCCCCCACTCTCTCCCCATAGCTCTGCAAACCCACTCGATTTGGTGATCACCCGGGGCCTCAGTGTCTCGGATGTCACTATTACCGACAAGGCCATCTCCGACCACTACTTCATCTCCTTCACCACCTCCACCCCCCTCCCCACCTCCACCAGACCCACCACCATCTTCTACCGCCCTTGGAAGAAGTTACCCCCACAATCCCTAACCGATGCCTTGGAGTCCTCTAAACTCCTCTCCCTCTGGCCTTCAACCCTCACCGACACTTCTTCTCCTCTCTCCCTCCACCACAATACCCTCTCCTCCACACTCGATACTCTTGCCCCCATCACTTCCCGCACTGTCTCCTACTCCCGCTCCTCCCCCTGGTACACCACCCACCTCCGCTCACTGAAAAGCCAGGTGCGGGCCGCTGAACGCACCTGTGTCAAATCTGGCCTAACGGTCCACCGACAAATCTGGGTGGACCTCCTCAAAATTTACCGCTCCACTCTAGCCTCGGCCAAGTCGTCCTTCTACTCCAGGATAATCCTGGAGGCGAAGAACAACCCCAGGCTACTGTTTTCCACCACAACCCGACTCCTCCGTCCCCCCGCCACCCCGCGCAGGTCATCTCCTCCAATCTTCACTGCGAGGAGATGCTGGATTTCCTTGAATCCAAGATCAAGGGAATCCGCTCCGCGTTCACTTCCCCTCCAACTTCCACCCACCACTCACCCCTTCCCTCCCACACTCCGACTCCTACCCATCCTCCCCTACTCACTTTTGTACCCGTTTCCCCACCCTCTGTCACTGAACTCATCCTATCCCTAAAACCAACCACCTGCTCCCTTGACCCCATCCCCACTCCACTCCTTATCTCCCAGCTCCACTTTCTTGCCCCACATATCACTGACATCATCAACCTGTCCCTCTCCTCTGGCTCTGTCCCCATTCCATTAAAAACTGCCATCATCACGCCCACCCTGAAAAAACCCTCCCTTGATGCGTCGCAGCTATCAAGCTACCGGCCCATCTCCAACCTCCCCTTTCTCTCCAAGGTCTTGGAAAGAGTTGTCGCCTCCCAACTGCGCTCTTTCCTCTCCACCCATTCTCTTTTTGAACCCCTTCAGTCAGGTTTCCGTGCTGCCCATAGCACAGAAACCGCCCTGGTCAAGGTCACCAATGATATCCTGACCATCTGTGACCAGGGCTCCCTCTGCCTCCTCGTCCTCTTCGACCTATCGGCAGCATTCGATACGGTCGACCACGCTATCCTACTCCACCGCTTGTCCTCCCACCTCAACCTTCAAGGCACTGTCCTTGAATGGTTTAGGTCGTACCTTTCTCACCGTCTTCACTTTGTCTCAACGAATGGCTTCTCCTCCACCCCCGTACTGTCTCATGTGGTGTCCCTCAGGGCTCTGTCCTCGGTCCCCTCCTCTTCACCCTCTATATGCTCCCCCTGTGGTGACATCATCCGCAGACATGGAGTTAACTCCCACATGTATGCGGATGACACCCAACTCTACCTTTCCTCCTCTACCCTCAACTCCACGACCACCGATGTCCTGACAGCTGTCTGTCCGACATCGAGTCCTGGACGAGAGACAACTTTCTTCAGCTCAACGTGCGAAAAACCGAGGCCCTCCTGATTGGCTCACGTCAGCGCCTCCGCACCTCAGGCGCTGACACCATCAGCATCCAAGGCCGCACTCTCCACCTCTCAAAGCCATCAGGAACCTCGGGGTTCTGTTCGACCCTGAGCTGTCCTTTCTCCCTCACATCCGCACTACAACTGGCACCGCCTTCCATCACCTCCGGAACATCGCCAGACTACGGCATTACCTCACCCCTCACGCGGCTGAAACCCTGGTTCACGCCTTTGTCACCTCAAGGCTGGACTATGGGAACTCTCTCCTCGTCGGCCTTCCCGCCACCTCCCTCCACACTGCAGGTCATTCAGAACTCTGCAGCTCGTGTACTGTCCCGCACCAGGCTTCGGGACCACATCACTCCCACCCTTGCTCGCCTCCACTGGCTCCCCATCCCCCAGAGGATTGATTTCAAGATCCTCATCCTCACCTACAACGCCATTCACGGCCTCGCTCCCTCCTACCTCTCCAACCTACTATCCCCCTACCTACCTGCCCGTACCCTCCGATCTTCTGGCTCCGGTCTGCTCCACGTCCCCCGCCCCAACCGCCCTACCATCGGTGGTCGGGCCTTCAGCCTCTCAGCCCCCAGGCTCTGGAACTCCATCCCCAGTGCCTTCGCCGCTTCCTCCCTTTCCTCCTTCAAGGCCGGTCTCAAAACCTTTCTCTTTGACCGAGCCTTCAGCTCCCCTCTGGACTCTCTTCCCCCTCCTCGCTCCCTCCCTTCCCTCCCCTCACCCTGACCATTTCCCCCCTCCTCGCTCCCTCCCTTCCCTCCCCTCACCATTTCCCCCCTCCTCGCTCCCTCCCTTCCCTCCCCTCACCCTGACCATTTCCCCGCTCCTCGCTCCCTCCCTTCCCTCCCCTCACCCTGACCATTTCCCCTCTCCTCGCTTCCCTCCCTTCCCTCCCCTCACCTTGACCATTTCCCCTCTCCTCGCTCCCTCCCTTCCCTCCCCTCACCCTGACCATTTCCCCCCTGCTCAGGTCATGACCCAACTGTGCAGCGCCTTGGGACGTCCTCCTGACGTGAAAGGCGCTTTATAAATGGAATCTTGTTGTTGTTGTTGCAAACTTGTCCTCCCCAAATAATTATCTACTTCTCCCTTAAAAATGATATTGAATCGGTTCCCATCGGCCTTTCAGGCAATGCATTCCAGATCCCAACAACTCGCTGTGTAACGACATTTCTCCTCCCCTCCCCTCTGTTTCTTTTAACAACTGTTTTAAATCGGTGCCCTCGGGTTACCGACCCACCCGCCAGTGGGAATAGTTTCTCTTTGTTCACCCTATCGAATCCCCTCATAATTTTGAAAACTTCTATTAAGTCTCCTCTTAACCTTCTCTGCCCCAAGGAGAATAATCCTGGCTTCTCTACCTCTCCTGATCACTGAAGCCCCTCATTCCTGGTACCATTCTGGTCAATCTCCTTTGCACCCTCTCCAATGCCTTGACATCCTTCCTAAGTGTGGGGCCCAGAACTGAACACAGTCTCTCGCTGAGGCCCAACCAGTGTTTTATATAAAGGTTCATCATAACTTCCTGACTTGTGTATTCTATGGCCTATTTATAAAGCCTCGTGTCCCGGATGCTTTTTAACAGCTTTATCTGCCTGTCCGCCATCTTCAAAGGTTTACTATATGACCCCCAGGTCTCTCTGTCCCTTCACCCCTTTAAGATTGTACCATCGGTTTATATTGTCTCTCCTCATTCTTCCTCACAAAATGCATCACTCTTTGACAGTGCCTTCAGTCACCCTCCTACCTCCCTTCCCTCCACCACTCCTGATTGATTGTGGATCCCTGGCCCGTGCAGCGTCTTGGGATGTCCTCCAGATGTGAAAGGCGCTGTGTAAATGTCATTTGTTGTTGTTGTTGGATGGTGGTGGGGTGAGAACGCACTGAATTTGATCCTCTCTGTGTTTCCCTTTCTAGTCTATACCTCAGTATTCGATCCCCAGCCAATCCAGCTCCAATGTGGTGGTGGAGCCCAGTGGGCTGCTGGACATCACTGACTTCACCAGCCAGAGACTGGCTGAGGAGGAATCTGTGCAGTATTCAGCCATGGATCACGATGTGGACAGCAGCAATGAGGAGGGCACGGAGCCCAGTTCAATGGAGAGCAGTGTTGAGCAGTCACACTGAGGGGCACAGACCTGTTATGTTATTCACCTTCTCTTCACAAGGAAATGCTCTTTGTTAAATAAAACTGTGCACATACTGTATAACTGCTCCATGTAAATAGGTCCCGAACACGTAGATTTAGCCTTTTACAAGTGCACTTTGTGAGGGATGTGTCTGAATAAAAACCGTTAGCTGTTTGGCATGAATGGAGGGGACTCCCCACACAGGGAAACTAACTCCCTCCACTCACTATACAGGAGATTGTTCCTTTAACTGTAGGCTGTGCAGATTTGGGATCAACATTCGCTAACAGGACCAGTGAACCCCAGACACTGGCTATTGTGAAGGGTTTATAGGTTACCCACCATCGCGCAGTTCAGCTGATTGGATCTTGGTTTCCCTCAGAGGCACGTCTGAACAAGCACACCGTCAATAAAATGTTTCTACTTCATTCATTCACTCAATCCAGTTTTTCTCCTGCTTTCCGCAACTCTCATCACTGATAACAACAACAGAAGTCACTGGGAACACACAGCAGGTCAGGCAGCATCTATGGAGAGAATGAAAGCAAGTTAACGTTTCAGGTCAATGTCTCTGACCTGCTGAGTGTTCCCAGCAACTTCTGATTTTCAGCATCTGCGGTATTTATCCTCATCCCTGGTAACTGTCTGTCTGATATTACCATCAGGACTGTTTGATTCTTTGCTTTGACGACAGCAGCCAGGATTATTGTCTGAATCAAGTGTTAAAGCTCTGGGCCACTACTCTGCGTGAGGGCAATATGTAAATACGTGTTGTTATTGTTGACAAATGAATCAACAACAAATAATAATAATAATCCTTGCATTTGATATAACGCCTTATTACGTCTCTAAGACGTTTCGAAGGATTTTACAACGTGAATTGTCTACCTTTTGTGGGTGAGATGCAGCAGCCAATTGGTCACAGTGACGTCCCCTCAAACAGTCGTGGATTGAGTGACTAAATTATTATTTTTGAAGGGATTGTTACCCCCGGAAAGCGATCTGCCAATCGCCTAACAACCGGGTTCCTATCGACTGCTGGTCAACAGCAACAACAACTCACACTTGTATAGTGCCCTTCACGTTGGCGAGACAGAGGTGTGTGGAGCAAGGGAAGTTGCCTAAGGTTTTGCGCTGCCCGGGCATCAAACCCGGGTCCTCACACTTGTGAGGCGAGAGTCTAACCCCTGAGCTACAAGAATCCTTTGAAGCATTTTGAGAAGTTTTGACATTTTTAGGCGCTAAATCAACTTGCAAGAGTCATTTTTATTTTTAGCTGCAGAAACTGTTCTCTCTGGGGTGACGTCTGCTTATTACACTTTTCCTGTGCTTATTTTTGGAGCTCCTCAGTGCATTGCCCTCACTCCCCTGACCTGGTGACAAGCCCAAGTGCTGGAGCTGAAATAATATTCCTTTTTAATGTAACAATGGTTTCTCCCAACGGACACTGTGTGTTTATGGAAAGTGCTGTCTGTGCGGGAAGAGTGAAGAGCCATAATAGTAACCGTTTAACCTAAGGCCACGATCTGTGTGTTGCTCACTGGTGCAGTGCTCAGGGGTACAGTGCTCAGGGGTACAGTGCTCACTGGTGCAGTGCTCAGGGGTACAGTGCTCACGGGTGCAGTGCTCAGGGGTACAGTGCTCAGGGGTACAGTGCTCAGGGTCAGTGCTCAGGGTGCAGTGCTCACGTGCTGGGGTGCAGTGCTCAGGGGTACAGTGCTCAGGGGTACAGTGCTCAGGGGTGCAGTGCTCAGGGGTACAGTGCTCACTGGTGCAGAGCTCAGGGGTACAGTGCTCAGGGGTGCAGAGCTCAGGGGTGCAGAGCTTTGAAGGGGAGGGGGCCAAACACTCAGGCTGTGGAGATGGGGGTTGTAGTTGACCAGACGCTCGGATTGTTATATTCAGATCTTGGTCGTGTGTCCGGACGTCACAAAACGCTTCACAGGATTTTTATTGCAAACAGAAACAAATGACATTGACATTGACACCGTGTGTTGGGAGGACGTCCCAAGGCGCTGGACACTCAGGGATTTGGACCCAAGCTGGAGGTTGAGATCAGGAGGGGTGGGGGTAAGAGAGTGGAGGGCAGAGTGTGTGGGGGTAAGAGTGGAGGGCAGAGTGTGTGGGGGTAAGAGTGGAAGGTGGGGTTAAGAGGGTGGAGGTCAGGGAGGGTGGAGGACAGAGTGTGTGGGGGTAAGAGAGTGGAGGGCAGGGAGGGTGGGGGTAAGAGTGGAGGGCAGAGTATGTGGGAGTAAGAGTGGAGGGCAGAGTGTGTGGGGGTAAGAGTGGAGAAGGTGGGGGTAAGAGGGTGGAGGTCAGAGTGTGGGGGTAAGAGGGTGGAGGGCAGAGTGTGGGGGTAAGAGGGTGAGGGGGAGCGACTGTGGGGTGGAGTTCCAAACGGTGGGGACAGAGAGGCTGAAGGCCTGACCGCTGATGGTGGGGCGGCCGGTGGGGGACGTGGAGAAGGCCGGAGCCCACTGAGCGGGAGGAATGGACAGGTTGACGTAGGGTTAGAAGGTCACAGAAGGAGGGGAGGAGCAAGTGTAGTGACTGTCTATCTGTAGGCCAACACGGCAGCCAATTTGTGCACATGGAGTCAATGACGAGTTTTATTTGGGGGTATTGTGAGCCACGACTTTAGAGTAAAGGCGAGGAAAGGAATCCATGTGTGTGAGAGTGAGTGAGTGTGAGTGAGTGAGTGTGAGTACGAAAGCTATTTATTCCTCTCTGGTTACGCACTGTGTGAGTGAGTGTTTGAGGCGGCACTGCTCTCTGACAACTCGACCCCGAGACTAACACCATGAAAACCCTGGAACAGCGCCAGGGAGAGTGGGGGGGAGGGAGGAGGGAGTGTGAGTGTGAGAGTGTGAGTGTGTGTGAGTGTGAGAGAGTGTGTGTGAGTGTGAGAGTGTGTGTGTGAGAGTGTGTGTGAGTGTGTGAGAGAGTGTGTGTGTGAGAGTGTGTGTGTGAGTGTGAGTGAGTGTGTGAGAGTGTATGAGTGTGAGTGTGTGTGAGTGTGAGTGTGTGTGTGTGTGGGGGGTGTGGTATGATTCCAGTGGCCGTTAGTTAAACCTGGTCCTGTTGTGTAGTGGTCAGACAGTCGCCTCACAAGTGAGAGGACCCGAGTCCCACAAACAGTTGTGGATTCACCGACTGAATTATTTTGTTTATTTTTATGAAGGGATTACGTCTGGAAAAGTGATCTGACAACCGGGTTCCTACTGACTGCCGGTGAGCAGAGGTGTGGGGTAAGGAAACTCACCCAAGGTTTCTCCCGCCCGGGAGTCACACCCGGGTCCTCTCACTTGTGAGGCGAGTGCTCTCACCACTGGGCTATAGAGATCCACGTGTGCTTTATTGATATAAATTGTAGATTGGATGTAAATTATCGTACAGTTTCGACGATTGACTTATTTGCTTTGTCGACTGATTTGTTTATAAGATCAGTGCACAGTGAGAGAGAGTGGATGGGGCGGAGATAAATGCTTTGTTTATTTCCCAAAACACAATCCAGAAATTCTTTCATCCTCGGCTGTGCCAGATTTGTTAATTTGTTGTTTTTCTCTCCTTTCCCCCCGGGGATAATGCTCAGTTTGTGGTCAGATATATAAATGCTGACTACAAAATGTAGGTTTGTCTCTCATTTGTTCAGTTCTCCAACACCCTCCTCCCAGCTCTTTCCCGGTTGTATATTAATTAAAGCAGAGGATGCAAAAGTGTACGGCTAAAAGTTGCCATAATAACAATAATAATCCTTGCATTTGATACAACGCCTTTGAGACGTCTCAAATCGCTTCTCAGAATATACCGTAAAGTGTAGTGACTGTATTGTGTGGACGAAACACGGCAGCCAATCGTACACAGCAGCGTCCCACAAATAGTCGTGGATTGAGTGACCAAATTATTATTAGTGATAGTATTTGTTTTAAGGGATTATTATCTCCAGAAAAGTGATCCACCAATCAACCGGGTTCCCACTCACTGCTGTAAACAGAGGTGTGTGGAGTGAGGAAACTTACCTCAGGTTTCTCTCTGCCCGGAATCAAACCCGGGTCCTCTCGCTGGCGAGGCGAGTGTCTAACCCCTGAGCCACAGGACTACATATATTAGTTATGGCACAAGATACCAAAGTGTAAGTGTAGCCATCGAGGGAATATGCACTGAGCAGAGTCAGGACTTCCTCCCCCCCTCACTCCCTCCTCCCCACCCCGGGCTGAATCATCGCTGTTATTAATGATTGCCGTATCACTCTGTTGTGGTCATTAGAAGCCCAGAATTTCCGCCTTACCCCCTCCTTCCCCATCTTGTCCTGTAGCTCAGTGGTTAGACACTCGCCTCACAAGCGAGGGAACCCGGGTTTGATTCCCGATTGGGGGGTCAAACCTTAGAGAAGTTTCCTCACTCCACACACCTCTGTTTACCAGCAGTGAGTAGGAACCCGGTTGTTAGTTGATTGGTGGACCCCTTTGCACGTGGTAATAATCCCCTTTAAAAAATAATTATAGTTGGGTCACTTCAACCCACGACTGTGTAACGCTGCTGTGCACAATTGGCTGCCGGGTTTCACCCTCAAAATATCTTTTCAGAATATCCTGTGAAGCGCTTTGAGACGTCTCAAAGACATGATAAGGCACTGTATCAAATGCAGGGATTGTTACTATTATCTTCAGGTCGCGCCCGAAGACCTTCCTCTTTGACGTTTTTAGGGTCACCTCCCCTCCCCCCAGTCGGTGTCGTGCTCCACCACTGTCAAGCTCTGATATGCTCTGTGTGAAGGCGCTGTTGTTGATTTTTCAGCACAGAAAGAGAGCACTCAGGTGCCCCATCAGCAGGTGCCAGCCCGGCCCGGCCCGGCCCGGCTCATCAGCAGGACCTGGAAGGGCCGACCAGTCACTGAGGGCCGGGAATCCTCCCCCTCAGCTCCTGTTAACCCCACAGCCAAAGCCCTAACGGGGAGGGGGGTCCTCGCTGGACAAGCAGCGGGAAAGCTTGGCCAGACAGCGATAGCAATGGCCAAGCTGTGTGGGTTTAGCCGGTTAGACTCCAGCAGTTACCCCGACACACACTCTGGGGTCCTCCCCAAGCCTTGGCTCTCGCCAACCTGCGCCTAAAACTCTCTGGAATTGGATAAGGAGGGGGCGTCCCTCAGGAAGGGAGGGGAAGAGAAAGTGCACATTTAATTTCCAGACACAAATATTTCCATGTACATGTGGTGTACATATGTGGAGCTGTGTCTGTTTTGGATGGTCGGTGATAGTCGGCAACCAGGACTCACAGCATCTGTTTGGCTGCTCTGTCAGCAGCAGTGCCCTGAGATAGTGTGCATGTGCCTGTCTCAAACACTGGCCTATCGAGAGAAACCACCGCGGAGGGTTGACTCCTTTGCCAATCACATCACCTTATTGGTGTTCGTCTTTTCGATGAGACGTTCAACCAAGGCT